GGGCACCATGGGGCAGGGGGCTCAGTGGGGCAGGGAGCAGGTGGGCTCGAGGGGGCACTGTGGGGCAGGGGACTCAGCGGGGGACACCGTGGGGCGGGGGGCTCAGCAGGGGGCTCAGCATGGGGCGCCGTGGAGCAGGGGGCTCAGTGGGGCAGGGAGCAGGTGGGCTCGAGGGGGCACTGTGGGGCAGGGGGCTCAGCGGGGGGCGCCGTGGGGCGGGGGGGCGCCGTGGGGCGGGGGGGCTCAGCGGGGGGCGCTGTGGGGCAGGGGGGGCTCAGCGGGGGGCGCCGTGGGGCGGGGGGGCTCAGTGGGGGGCTCAGCGGGGGGGCGCCGTGGGGCGGGGGCCTCAGCGGGGGGGCGCCGTGGAGCAGGGGGGGCTCAGCGAGGGGCGCCGTGGGGCAGGGGGGCTCAGCGGGCGGCGCTGTGGGGCAGGGGGCGCCGTGGGGCGGGGGGGCTCGGCGGGGGGCTCAGTGTGGGGCGGGGGGGCTTGGCGGGGGGCGCCGTGGGGCAGGGGGGCTCGGCGGGGGCGCCGTGGGGGCGGGGGCGGCGGCGGGGGCGCCGTGGGGGGGGGGCGGCGGGGGCGCCGTGGGGCGGGGGGGCGCCGTGGGGCAGGGGGGCTCAGCGGGGGGCGCTCTCCCCTGGCCGTCACTGCTGGTCCCAGTGCGACACTCGGGGATGCTGCAGGGAACGGGACAGGGATGCTATGATGTCATTGGTTTTGTCCTCTCTGATTGGCCGCCTGTCTCTGTGCAGTCACCCAGACAACAGACCCCTCCCACCAGATGGAGGGGGGTAACATCGCCCTGGCGATCTTCCTGCCAATCATCCTGGTCATTCTCCTGATTGGCGGCATTTACGTCTATTACACTAAGTAAGTCACAGCCAATGAGGACAGAGGGTGTGGCAGCTGGGAGGCAGGGCTTGGGGCTCTTAAAGGGGCAGGGTGATCATTGAGGGCGGGGCTTTGGAGTCTTAAAGGGGCGGGTTGGAATGGGGGTGGAATGATATTCGTTGGGGGTGGAGCTGGAGACTCTTAAAGGGGCGGTGGCCCTGTCGCCCGTGGGGCGGGGCCGGGTCCCCCGTGTGGTTCTCACCCCCCCACGTCTCTGTGCCAGGTTCCAGGGCAAGTCCCTGTTTGGCTTCTCCAGCTCCCACAGCTACAGGCCCATCACCGTGGAGTCCGACTTCAGCAACCCGCTGTACGAGGCTGGGGTGAGTCGCCCCCCAGGGCGTCAGGCTGCCAACTTCCTAATCGCACGAAACCGAAAACCCCCTCCCTGATGCCCCGCCTCCTCCCCGATGCCCCGCCCCCACTCACTCCAGCCCCCTTCCCTCCATCGCTCGCTCTCCCCCACTCTCTCTTTCACTGGGCTGGCGCAGGGGGTTTGGGTGCGGCAGGGGGTGCGGGCTCAGGGCTGGGGCAGGGGGTTCGGGGTGCAGGCTCCGGGAAGGGGTTTAGGGTGTGTGGGGGGGTTCCGACCTGGGGCAGGGGGTGTGGGGCACAGGAGGGAGTTAGGGTGCGGGAGGGGGCTCAGGGCTGGGGCAGGGGGTTCGGGGTGCGGGCTCCGGGAAGGGGTTTAGGGTGCGGGAGGGGGTTCCGACCTGGGGCAGGGGGTGTGGGGTGCGGGAGGGGGCTTGTCACGGAGTGTGGGGGAGTCCAGGCCCTGCACCCCTCTTCCTGGGATCCACTGAGACTCTCAGCCAGCCAGTAAAACAGAAGGTTTATTGGACAACAGGAACACAGTCCACAACAGAGCTTGTGGGTACAACCAGGACCCCTCAATCACGTCCTTCTGGGGGAGCAGGGAGCTTAGACCCCAGCCCTGGGGTTCCCTGTGTTCCTCCCCCCAGCCTCCAAACTGCCCACTCAACCCACCCAGCAGGTTCCCTGCTGCAGCCTCTGTTCACATTCCTGGGCAGAGGTGTCACCTCCCCCTCCCCCTCCTGGCTCAGGTGACAGGCTCTCAGGTCTCCCCTCCCCAGGGCACATTCCCAGGTCAACACTCCCCCCTCCCTGCTGCGTCACATCCTCACAGGGCTCAGGGCTGGCGCAGTGGGGCTAAGCCAGGCTCCCTCCCTGCCCTCACGCCGCGTGGCTCCCGTAAGCAGCCGCCATTTCCAGCCCCTTGGCAGATGGGCCGGGGGCTCTGTGCTGCCCCGCCCACAGGCGCTGGCCCTGCAGCTCCCATTGGTCACGGTTCCCAGCCAATGGGAGCTGTGGAGCTGGTGCTGGGGGTGGGGCAGTGCCCGGAGACCCCTGCCCCCCGGGGACATGCCCGTCGTCGCGTGGGGCCGGAGCAGGCAGGGAGCCTGGGTTCGCCCCCACTGCGCCGCTGACCGGACTTTTAACAGCCCAGAGCCACCGGGGTCCCTTTTCGACCGGGCGTTTCGGTCAAAAACCGGACACCTGGCGACCCTAGGTGGGAGCCCCTCCCCCACTGTATCCCCCCGAGGGGGAGGCCAGTGTGGGCCGGGGGCTGCGTGGGGGGAGCTATTGGCTGAGGGGGATGGGCTGGGAACAGATGTGGGGGAGCGGAACGGATGGGGAGGCTCTGAGTCCCCAAGTGACGCTGTGTTTCCCCCCTCTCTGCCCCCCAGGACACCAGGGAGTATGAAGTGTCCATCTGACGGGCCGTGTGCCCCGTCCGGAGCGAGGGGGCGTCTGGCGGAAAGGAAGAGACGACGTGGGGGGGGGTTGAGGGGGGGCAGCGCGTGGTGGCGGGGCCCTGTCCTGTCTCTCCACTCCCCCCACCTCCCCCTCTTTGTACATATCCAGGTCCATGTGCCAACGCTCACACTTTTCTGCTTCGGTAATTAGTTAATTAATTTATAACCCCGCCCCCGGGCTCATTATTTATTTATTTATTTATTCATTTATTTACTCACTCCACCCTGGCCGGCAAGGTGCGGGGTCTGTGCCGCCCCCCTCTCCCCCCCTTCCAAGGCCGACGGGACGTTGTCGGAAACCCTGCAGTGACAAACCACCCCACCCCCGGTGCACGTCGCAATCGTAGGCCCACCCTGCAGTCACAACAATGCACAAAGCCCTGCGGCCCGCGGGGTCCTGTCGTAACGAAGGGCGCGGCCGCCTTGGGGTTTGCAGGAGACCCTACAATAATATATTAGCACGCAGAGCTCTGGAGCATGGCGTAGGCCACCTGAGAGACCACCCAATAACAAACCAGGCCTCTCCCCCCTGCCCCCGTCTTGTGACGCTGTCCTTCCCTTTAAGGGAAAAGCCAGGGGGTATTTATCCCTTGCTCCTTGTCAGGATCCCCTTCAACAATAAATACCTTCCCGTCTTTTATACCGTATCCCTTTAAGAGTAATCAGGGTAGGAGGTTGTAGCTCTTTAAGGGTAAAAATAATTCCCCATCGCTCCTTTTAGGCATAAAATGCAGGGGGTAGTTACTCCTGAACTCATCCCTTTGAGGGTAAAACAGGCAGGAGGGCATTTATTTTCACAGTGCTCCTTTAAGGCTAAACATAATTGTTAATCATTACCTTTAACAGTAAAACACTGGCCCATAGATATCCCTAGAACCCACCCCTTTAAGGAGTCTAAAAAGAGACAGGAGGACACTGAATTAAACATCATCCCTTTAAGGATAAAACATAGCTACAACTGACCTCTTCCCCTTTAAGGATTAAAACACAGGAGGATATTTAGTTTAATAGCATTCCTCTAAGGATAAAACACAGGGGGGATATTTACTTCTATGTTCACCCCTTTAAGGACAAAAAGCAGGAGGACACTTCTCCTCAAAGGGATGCTGTTCAAAGTGTCCTCCTATCTTTGTTATTCTTAAAGGGATGGGTACAGCTGTGTATATCCCCTCCCTGTGTTTTGTCCTTAAAGGGACATTCGCACAATGAAATGATGCGAGACCGTGACATTGCCTTTAAAGATTGACATGTAGGAGGATACTATTCTTCTGCTACGTCCCTTTAAATGCCTTTCACCCCGGGGGCGGGTGGCAGGTGGCAGGGATCGGCTCTTCCCCAACACACCCGCGTCCCTGGTGGCTCACTCTGGGGCAGGACTTGCTGGGGGGGTAAGGCCCCTCCCCCTCCCGTGTCCCCCCTTCCGCCCCCTCCCTGCATTGTCCTGGTTTTCCATTCGCTTTTATTTTGGAGCAATAAATAAAACTGCACCATTTGTAAAAGCCTCGGGGTCTGCGTCTCCTGGTGCCTGGGGGGGCGGACGTAGGAAACAGCTGGTCCCCTGCCCTGGGGCCCAACGGAGCTAGTGCCCCCTGGTCAGGCAAAGCCCCGTGTCCCATCCCCCGCTGCCTGGAGCCAACCAGCCCCAGCCCGCCCCCCCGCCCTGACGGAGATCAGGGCCCCGTCACGCCTGGCTCTGCAACCCCCCCCCGACGGAGATCAGGGCCCCGTCACGCCTGGCTCTGCACCACCTCCCCCCCCGACGGAGATCAGGGCCCCGTCACGCCTGGCTCTGCACCACCTCCCCCCCCGACTGAGATCAGGGCCCCGTCACGCCTGGCTCTGCACCACCTCCCCCCGACGGAGATCAGGGCCCCGTCACGCCTGGCTCTGCACCACCTCCCCCCCCGACGGAGATCAGGGCCCCGTCACGCCTGGCTCTGCACCACCTCCCCCCGACGGAGATCAGGGCCCCGTCACGCCTGGCTCTGCACCACCTCCCCCCCGACGGAGATCAGGGCCCCGTCACGCCTGGCTCTGCACCACCTCCCCCCCCGACGGAGATCAGGGCCCCGTCACGCCTGGCTCTGCACCACCTCCCCCCCCGATGGAGATCAGGGCCCCGTCACCCTTCCCCAGCTCTGGGGCCGCAGCAGTGGGGATGGTGCCGGTCAGCCCTGTTCTGGGGGCCCCGGGCTGGGACCGGGGCAGGTGGGTTCCCCCCCCCATATAAGCGGATAAGGACGTTGAGACGCCGAGCAGAGGGCTGCAAGGGGCCCAGAGCTGGGGCTGGAGCCCCAATACCAGGGCGCTGGACTTTGGACTTTCTCATGACCGCAGAAGGGTGGAGTTAAATTGAGGGGCGCCGGGGAGCCCGCTGGAGGGGAGCGTCTGGTGAGGCGGAGCTGCTGTGCCATGCCCGGCCACAAGGAGACGCTGTAATGGTGAGTTGACTCCTCACAGGGCAGAAACGGGGAGAGGAGGGGGCACAGCCCCCTCCTAGCCATTCTTCACGCTCTGGTCAGCATCCGCAGAGACCAATTTGGGGCCCTATGTGAAGGGAGAGGACTGGGGCAAATCGATGGGGCAGGCTGGTTGTTTACAGCATGTACAGGGTGTGGGCCTGTGGAACTCCCCGCCACAGGATGTGGCACAGAATCAGCCCTTAGCAGTTGCGGGAGGGTGATCATGGTTGGTGCAGGTCCAAGGTTTTTGGTGCTAATTTGCTTGGGAGATAAAGGTGGAAACCTGCTGCAATTTGTTTGGTTAGCTGTAATATCTCGCAGCATACCGTGATCTTACCAAGTCGCTTTGTTTTGCAAAGTTCAGAAAGGCCCCAGTGGTAACTATATGGCCCTGTATTTCTGCCTCAATCAATAATTCAACTGCAAACAAAAGCTTGGTTGGGTTTTTTTAAAAAACGAATTGAAGGCTTTTTGGTCAAAGGAAAAAAACCTGGAGGGGAAAAACCCGCCCGTGTTAATACAAAGGTAATAACGATCAAATCGTACCTGGTTCTTAGGGTTTTATACGCTTGTTTGCACCTTGATTACACATTCAAATGTGCAGCTGGAATGTTGCCCTCTATATTCCGTCTGCTTCGGCTGCCAAATGTTACCGCGAACCACCAAATGTCAGCAGGTTTTTCTGTCTCTGTCTCCCAAGTACACGCAAATTGAAGCTGAAAAGCTTGAATCCAAGTCCCACTGCGAATGCTTGTGCTAAAGCGGATGGCTCAGCATGGGAGGCCAGACCCGTGTGAGCTTTTAGCACCGGGTTTATTATGGCAAACTAGCAATGTGCCCTGGTTGGGAAGCAGCCATGTCTCTTGTTGCAGAAGCCGCAAAAAGCATCTAAACCAGGAGCATTTGCGCTAAAGAATTGGGGGGGAAATCAGAGCAAAAACCCCAAAATGTATTTTAATAATAAAAAAAAAAGTGAAAAACCAGCCGTGCGTCTGTCTCCCGCTGTGTTACAGCCCAGAGCGTGTCAGAAATGATTTGGTTGCGATTGCAGTGTTCGCAAACTGCGTTCCTCGGTGTATCAATTTGGGTTACTGAAAACGGGGTCAAAACCCATCAACATTGTTACCCAACTGAAGCTGCGCCCACGGACGGAGACTAGGTTGTGGTGCACAGTGAAGAAACCCCCAGGCAGAGGAAGAAGAAAAGATAAAATGTTATAAACGACAGACTGGTCAACCACATCTCAACCTACCCCACAGGGACCATTGAGCCTGTTACAGAGACCCAGAGCTGGGCCGGTTCTACCTGTTCCTCAACTGGTTTGTTATGAAGCGTGGTGAGTTCGTGCGGATACCTGTGCTTTCGAGTCTCCCTCGCTGACGTCCGGTGGAGCTTGGTTATGGTGTCCAAGCAAACGTATCATGACTGTGGATGTCTTTGGTAATTACTCAAAAAGCATCTTCTCAGCATGGCGTGCAACCCGCACGGGCTGGGCAAAACCCTGCAGTAGCTCCTGGGAGTTCCGGACACCTCGGGGATGGAGGTTGTTTGTTACTCTGAACAAAACGTTCGGGTCTTTCCAAAGTTTACAGCTGAACGTTGACTTAACACAGCTTTGAAAGTCCCCTGTGGAAAACGCTGCTTTCCCTTGACGTGTTTAGTAGTTTACGTTTAACAGAGCGCCGTGCTGTACAGTACTGTGGTTTGATCTCTGCGGCTGCGTGATTGTATATGGCCGGCTGCGTGATTGTATATGGCCGGTTCCCAATGAGGGGTGTGGCGGTTCGTAACTCTGAAGTTCGTAACTCGGAGGTTCTACTGCATTGTGGGATCCTTCAAATAGGAAACCCCAAGACTAGGTGGAACGAGTGGTTACATGTCCAGATTATTCGAATCTGGAATATCTACTTGGGACAGAGCTCATTTGAAAAATATATTTATCCTCCGACCCCCTGTATTAACTATTCTGAGCATCGGGCTGTGGAATCAGCACCATGGGGGTAGGAGGATCGTCTAGTCTCACCCCCAGAACGCAAGACCAAACCCGAATCACTTATAACCCAGTAGAGACAGCCTCTAACCCCGTAACTCAAGGCAGTACGTGGTGTGTAATATGCATGACATTGCCAAGCTGCTTAACTGCATGCAAGCAAAATCAAATGAATAATTAATGAATAATGACTAATACTTAATTGCAACAGATAATAAAAAGGTAATGAAATGATTTCTGTTGCATCTGGGCGTTACGTGTGAACTACCCCGACCAACTCGTCAGGGCCCGTTGCCCAAGGAAAGTCACCTGAACTTCTTAGCCAGCAGCGGTGAGCTGGTGTATTCCTCAGAGTGTTTCATCACACATCCAGCCCCCACCCTCCCAGGGCTTCATATATTCCTCTGCAAAAGTGCCACCTTAACTGACAATTATCAAGGCCACAAGCAGGCCCCGTTGCCCAATATAAGCTGGCCTGCGTATAAACGTCATGTTAATAACATGTCCACACATAGCTATATTAGTGTGTATTAAGCACAAGTCGCATTAAGCACAAATATTAGGCCAATTTAGGCTCTCTAACGGCTATATGTTTTTTAAATAACACTGCTCGTTTATGCTCAGTTTCCCATAACCCCTTGCATTCACTGAAGCTTTTGCCTTAAGTCAAGAGGGGTGTAGCATAGCAACACGCAAACGATTCCCTTCACAGGCCTGGGAACACGCCCTGGGATCAGGGACAAAGGCAGAAGGCAGAGTGGTTAAAGCTACTTTCAGAGATGTACCCAGTACCTTGCACTTGTAAAGAGGTGGGTATAAAAAGTTGGCTTTAGGGGAGTAACTTGGGGTGCTTGCATTCTGCGTAAGGTGAACGTGACAACACAGCACGAGACGGCTGCCCAGAGCCCGGCCTCTTATGGACTCTTTCCTGTAGGAGATTATTACTGGCTGAGCGCACTAAACGTGACTGACGCTGGTTAGTTGGTCTCTTGACCATATTTCACAACAAACCAAAGTGTGGCCAAGGAATGGACTATCCACAAAACAAACATGTCTTTAGGCACCGAGGTTCTTTTACACCCCACTGGAGACACCAGGATCAAGACCAAGCCAAATTGCCACAATGATTATCCCCAGCGGTTTAGTATTAATAAAACCATTGACAAACCAACACCGATGACCAAACACAGCTGTTAAACTGGCGCCTTCCATTCCAATCTCTTCTGTGTGTCTCCATGGACAGCTTTTAGCAGAGATGGTGGCCTGAAGCATGAACCCATCTGTGACGGGATCCCCGGGGTGCAGCCTGGGACTGTGGGACCGCTGTGCCCCCGAACTCTCTCCAGTCTGGGCTGTCTCTCACAATGCCCTGCTAGTGACCAGCAGCAACCCCCTCCAGGCGCTGCGATCACTCAGCACAACCGCATGTGGAGCCCCATACCCAGCTAGATTGCATGAATGCTCCCAGAGTCACTCCTGAATCACACCGAGAAAGGCACCAGCCAAATCTCCCCGCTGCCCACCCCCCAGCTATGTAGCTCAGGAATATACCGTCTTGCACTGCTCAAGATGGGCAGTGCAGATTTATTAATTGGTTCCCCACTTCAGCAATGGAGAGTGGATGTACACCAGCCTTTGCAAACCTGAGCAGATTTACCACCCACTTTATACAAACTCACTGGTAAAGATAAACAGTAAAACAAATGTATTGACTATAAAAGGTAGATTTTAAGTGATAGGCAAAAAGTCCGAGTTAGTTACCAAAAGAAATAAAATATCAGCCCGCAGTCTAAACTCTCAATCCTATTAGACGGGGCAACATCTAGATTAAGCAGTTTTTCTCACCTCACTGGATATTGCAGTTCCTTGTACACAGATTTCACCCTTGAAATCTGGGACAGTCCCCTCAGTTGGAGTTTTCAGAGTGTCCTTGTTGCTTGCAGCATAGGTGGGGGAAGGAGGAAGGCCCAGAATGGGGCCCCTGTGTCTGTTTTATACCCTCAGTCCATGTGCTTGGGGAGCACAAGTCCAGGCATGTCTGGGGGCATTGCTGAGTCTCCAGGCCAGGTTGAGCAATTCCCCGGGTGGGGCCTCAGGCAGGTGAGTCATCTCATTGTAGCTCCTTTGCTGGCCAATGGCTGTTGATGGGTTGACTGACACCCAGCCTGGATGCTGGTGACTTTCCTTGCTGTTGCCTCTGGGGAGCTAATAACTGGCTGAGTCTCCAACTTACAGCATGTTTTAGTGACAACCATACCACATAATTCTCATAACTTCATCTGCATCAATGACACACATCTATGGACAGAGAAATCACTTTCAGCAGATCATAACCTCTCCCCTGATACCTTACCAGGCCTGTTTTCTATGCAAGATCACGATGATATGAAAATGAGGAATATGGGGGTTCCAGGACACTTCCCCAAAGTATAGAATGTCACACCGTCTTTGGTAGGGCCCTCGTCTCCTGGTAAGTTGAAACCAAGCAATTACTGGTTCCCAAATGATTGTCAAGATCAGTCTGCATATCTAAGTAGTAATCAAATTCTACCAAGCCTGGTCTTAAATCAAACTCTAAGAAGTACTCAAGCTGCGTTGGTCTTGCTTTGCCTGGCTATAAATTTCAATTATTTGATGGAAATATTTTTTGTCGGTTTCTGTGTGTGCAGTGAAACCAACATTTAGTAACATTTACCAAAAAATAAGTTCATGCACATCTCTGTAATGCTGAATCTCTCTTGCTGGAATAGGACCAGATCTGGTGACTGGATGGGGACAAATGTAGTGTTGTAAGCATCTTGAACTGTTATAACATCCTATCCGGTACAAACTCGAGATCTGATAGCAGGGCCAGAAATGGTACCAAAACGACATGGTTTCAGGAGTAGAAAACGGCAGAGGAATTGTTGGTTCGGTTTCGGGTTTGTTTGGCTCAGCAATGTCAAGGTGGAACAGGTGAAATGTATAAGAAGACCCATTAGTTACTGTGAGCGTGAACAAGCAGGTACGGTTTCACAACCCAAAATGACAAGAGTCAAAGGTTTAGCAACAGAAGAAAACTGTACTATTCATACCGTTCAGAACATTGCTAGGCTGTTCAGTCAGACACAAATCAAAGTCAGTGAGCTGATGAGTGAGAACAATGAGGAGGTGGAAACTTGCCGCATGAGTACTATTAGTAGTACCCTGGAAGTTATTAAATAAGGCAAAATTCCAGCTATCCTTAAGGATGAGCAGCTTCTTAAGGGCTTGTCGTCCTCAGTGCATTGCTAAATCTTATGAAGAAAGACATCATGGTACACAATTCTACAAGACGTTCCGTCTAGTGCTGCTAGAAACTTGGGATCTGTGGCACTTGTCACAGAGTGTGCGGGACTCAGGGCCCTGCACCTCCCACTTCCTGTGATTCACCGGGACTCTCAGCCAGCCAGTAAAACAGAAGGTTTATTAGACGACAGGAACACGGTCTAACACAGAGCTTGTAGGTACAGAGAACAGGACCCCTCAGTCAGGTCCATCTTGAGGGGTAGGGAGCCCAGACCCTGGTTCTGGGCCTCCCTGTGTCTCCCCAGCCAGCTCCAAACTGAAACGCCCTCCAGCCACCTCCCCCAGTCACATCCCCGGCCCCTCCTCCAGCCTTTGTCCAGTTTCCCAGGCACAAGGTGTCACTTGGCCCCAACCCCCTCCTGGGCTCAGGTTACGTGCTCAGGTATTGTCCCTCAGTGAAGTCACACCCTGACATCCCACCACCATCTACTACCAATGCAGACAGTAAACTAGTAAAACTCCCATGCAATATTCCCAGGTTAATACTCCCTGCTGCATCCCATCTCTCCCCCCTTCGAGACTGAACTGAGCGGGGTCACTATGACCCGTGACCTGGGGAAGTTCAAGGCCCCCTCTCCGGGACAACGCATCCGCTATCACGTCGGCACTTCCCTTCACGTGGACCACGTCCATGTCATAATCCTGCAGGAGCAGGCTCCACCTCAGGAGTTTGGCGTTGGCTCCTTTCATCTGGTGCAGCCAGGTCAGGGGAGAGTGGTCCATGTACATGGTGAAGTGTCGCCCGAAGAGATAGGGCTCTAGTTTCTTGAGGGCCCACACCATGACCAGGCACTCCTTCTCGATGGCCATGTAGTGTTGCTCCCAGGGTAGCAACTTCTTGCTCAGGTACATGATGGGGTGTCTCTCCCCCTTTTCATCCTCCTGCATTAACACCCCCCCCCAGTCCTGTGTCTGAGGCGTCGGTGAACACCACAAAGGGCTTGTCAAAGTCTGGGTTTGCCAGAACTGGGCCACTGACCAAAGCCTCCTTAGAATCATAGAATCCCAGAATATCAGGGTTGGAAGGGACCTCAGGAAGTCATCTAGTCCAACCCCCTGCTCAAAGCAGGACCGATCCCCAACTAAATCATCCCAGCCAGGGCTTTGTCAAGCCTGACCTTAAAAACTTCTAAGGAAGGAGATTCCACCACCTCCCTAGGTAACACATTCCAGTGTTTCACCACCCTCCTAGTGAAAAAGTTTTTCCTAATATCCAACCTAAACCTCCCCCACTGCAACTTGAGACCGTTACTCCTTGTTCTGTCAACTGCTACCACTGAGAACAGTCTAGATCCATCCTCTTTGGAACCCCCTTTCAAGTAGTTGAAAGCAGCTATCAAATCCCCCCTCATTCTTCTCTTCTGCAGACTAAACATCCCCAGTTCCCTCAGCCTCTCCTCATAACTCATGTGTTCCAGACCCCTAATCATTTTTGTTGCCCTCTGCTGGACTCTTTCCAATTTCTCCACATCCTTCTTGTAGTATGGGGCCCCAAACTGGACACAGTACTCCAGATGAGGCCTCACCAATGTCAAATATTAGGGAAACGATCACGTCCCTTGATCTGCTGGCAATGCCCCTACTTATACGTCCCAAAATGCCATTGGCCTTCTTGGCAACAAGGGCACACTGCTGACTCATATCCAGCTTCTCGTCCACTGTCACCCCTAGGTCCTTTTCCGCAGAACTGCTGCCGAGCCATTCAGTCCCTAGTCTGTAGCGGTGCATTGGAGTCTTCCGTCCTAAGTGCAGGACTCTGCACTTGTCCTTGTTGAACCTCATCAGATTTCTTTTGGCCCAATCCTCTAATTTGTCTAGGGCCCTCTGCATCCTATCCCTGTCCTCCAGCGTATCTACCACTCCTCCCAGTTTAGTGTCATCTGCAAACTTGCTGAGGGTGCAATCCA